TGCCGGCACCGTCAGCACCTGCCCAGGCAGCCGAGCACTCCGGAGGGGCCCCTCGTTTTCCAGTTCCAGCATGGGATCGGTGTCCAACGGGAAGGTAGGGCCTCCGGCCTGCCAGGCGGTCTCCCCCGAGCTGTCACCTGAGCGACCCTCTCAGGTGCTGGCTCTGGTTTCGAACAGTTCCCTCGGTTTTGCTGCCAATGGCATTACCTCGCCGGGAAGCCCACGGGGTCATCCCCTGAGGATTTGTGGTCCGTCGGCGCTTGCACCGCAGCAGGAGCAGATCGTTTTTACAACTAGCCCTCAGCCCTTGCCTTCCCCCAGCAGCAGCAACGCGGCTCCGCTGCCCTTGCAATGCAGCCGGGTTTCCAAAATACCAGAAAAAGTGCTGGTGGGGCCTGCCATGCTTTCCCTAGAGCCCGACGTACTCCCTCAGCGGCCAGCGTCCCCTCAGGACCAGCCCGTGGTCCTGAGCACCAACAGCCCCGCCGCTCTCAAGGTGGGCACACAGCAGATCATCCCCAAAAGCCTGGCTTCCGAAATAAAGGTGACGAGCAAAGGTAGCAGCCAGAACGCGGAGACGAGCAAAAGGGTGCTGAAGGTGCGCAGCATGATGGAGAACCTCAGCGTGCCCTTGGTATCCGATGGCGGGGAAGAGGCCGAGGGCGACCTGGACAGCCCGGGGACCCTGAGGCGAGGCCTGAGGTCGACATCCTACCGCAGGGCAGTGGTGAGCGGCATGGACTTCGACAGCTCTTCTGATTTCAAGAAGAAAAACAGAATGTCCCAGCCCATCCTTAAAGCAGTTGTTGAAGATAAAGAGAAATGTTCAAGCCTGGGGAGGATAAAGGTAAGTTGTGCAGATTTGAATGGTGTAAATTATGTGGGAGTGTGATTTGCAGTCTCAAGGTTTTCCATAAACACTAGGTTTATTCAGTTTGCTGCTTGTTAACACAAAACTTTTCGTAGTTATTGCTGAGATTTACAGGTCACTTAAAAGTGGTGTTTTCAAAGTAAAGTGGTGGAAGCTTCAGGGACGAGATAATCTGGGCAGCTCAAAACTGTGTTGATGGCAGCTGCATGCTGGTGTTTCCGGCTGGAATCCCCAGCACTTTGAGGTTGTCTTTCACTATCAAGCTGATGTTTTAAAGCCTATTTCCCAGAAAGTAATAAACAGGAGAAAAAAAGACACTGACTTAATAAAGTCTGTCTGCTAGAGTACACAGACTGACAGAGAAGTGAGGAAGGAGGCTCATTTTTCCATGTGAGAAATTACTTTTAAGAATCAGAATATGATTTCTAAATTGACAGAGACCACTTCAAGTATCTTTTTCTAGCCTAATGCCTGCAAGTAAAAGCAGAATGCATGTTTCTAATTCTTGGTTGTAGTCCCTTAGGAGTAGTAGATTTACATTGAAAGTTAATGTATTAAAATTAAATTCTAAGACTTACTGAAAAGATTTTTTTTTACTTGAACATATACTGTAATATTTTATTTCCTTCTTTTAAAATATAATTTCTAATTCTGCAGAAAACTGCCATTTTTTTCTGTTTGGAACTGTGTAGTAAGGTACTCCATGCTAAGAGCCAATGCTGTAGCTATTGAAACAATTGTCAGCTTTCTGACAACTTTCAACCAAATAAAGAATTATGGTTATAGAAGCTTTTGTGAAAATGCTACGAGTGGTAAAATAATAATAGATCAAATTGTGAACTATTGCTGAGTAGGGAGGTGGTTTGTTTTGGTAGTAGAGTTTAACAGTAAGTTATGTTTAAAATAGGAGGATGTGACATTGTCCTGTCTTTGCACACAAAGCTCTTTTTGCTAGTAGCATTTTTTTAAACAGGATTCTTAGACCACATTACTTGTTCCACCAAAACAGCTGTTGTATTTCAAGGGTTTGTTTTGGTCTCAAAATCTTAGTTTACAAACCAGTTAACGTGGCTGTTCTTCACAGAGTGTGGGGAAGGAGGCAGCCACTCAGTTGTGTCTCTTACGTCCTGGCGGAAAAACCCAGAGCAGTGAAAGGAGTTAGTTCATTGAACTCCTGTAAAGCTGCATACTGTGCTTCTGAAACACAGGAAAAATGGAGCATTTGGGGCAAAGACGTATGAGCAATGCTCGAGAGAACGATAACTAGAGTGGCATTTCACTTGCTGTGACAAAACAGTTGCTATCGTGAATACTTGTCCAACATTGGAAGTTTATAGATAGGGCATGTTAATTTGGTGCCTAAATATCAAATAAGGTGTAAGTTCTTGTTACTGTTGGTTAGTGTACATTCTTCTTTTAATGTGTATTTATGTCTTTCCTGTTAAAATTGCCAGAAGAAAATGCTGAAAGGACAAGGGACGTTCGATGGGGAAGGTAAGCCCTTTTCTGTACAGATTTGGTAATATACTCAGTCACAAGAGAAATTAACTTCAGGATCATTTTGCACACTTCTTTCATGCATATTCAAAGACTTAAGTACCTCGTTTTTCAGTAAACTGACTAAAATATGGAACCATGATTTGTGACCCTTCCCAGGTGCAAGTCATAGCTTTTGTGGGTCACCTTGGGGGTTTGGGATCTTCACTAGCAAGAGGTACCTGAGCTGTTACTCTGAGTTTATGGTTCATGCAGCTATTTCTCCCTTTTCCTCATAAGGCAGGAGTGCTGAGGTGAATTCCTTGACTTTGTAATAATTTTGTTTTCCTGCTACCTAGGCTTCAAGTTTAAATGTCAGAAAAACACTGTCCATGTATCTGCTCTTTTATGTTACTCATTAATTCTGGGCTTTGCCAAGTTTGCTACTTTTCCCAATGTTTCAACAAGAAAAAAGTTCTTTCTTGGCTCTGTGTCCATGAAAGTTTCATTACAGTATCTGCTACATTCTTGGCTTTTCTCCACTTAATGTGTCCTTGAGGTCACCTCAGCTGCTGTGTTACCTTCCTTTTTCCCTTGTTTCTTTTTTCAGAACTTCTCACTTTGTTCTGTTTGCATCATCACCTGTCTTACTCTTAGTTTTTTCTTTTATCACACTGTCTCCTGATGATGTTTTCTAGATTTTCTTTCTGTGGCTCCCTTTTATCTTGGACTGATCCCAACTAATAACTTCCTCTAATGCCTTTCAGAATTCAGTCACTGTACTCAATTTCCTGTTTTAAAAGGGTATAAATGATACAGATGCATTCCAAAGAACAAAAACAAAAGGCCAAACCTGGTACAATACTCAGCCAGGGCTGTGTGTTCAGAGAAGGTGGAACAGATCCACCCAGCCTATGTAAGATTTTAGGAGCTGCAGCTGTGCACGGTGCAGCCAGGCCTTTCATCTGTTTCTCTTGTAGGGAGAAATTGGATATTGTCCAAAGCCTGGCCCATCTCTAAAGTACCTTTTGGAGCTCACTTTCTTAGTGGCTTAATTCATCTGTAGGTTATTCTGGTCTTGAATTTCCCTGTCCTTTTCTGTCTGCTTTTGAAAAGGATGTGTGGTGAAGGAGGCTGGGAAATGGGAAGGGTGTGCTCCATGCCTGTACTGCTTTGATGTTGACAGTACTGAGATAGTGCTTGCAGTACTGAAATGTGATGAGTGTGTTTTGTGTTAAGGTTCATAGGCCTCATGCTTGTTCAAGCAAACTCTGAAGTTTCCATTTGGAATAGTTCTGACCTCAAATTTCTGAAATTTGGATCATATTCTACTCCTGGTGAAGTGCGAAGACAGTATTTAAACCTGACAGAAAGGTTGGCATGGGTAGTGAACTTTTAATAGTCTTGTAAATTAAAACAGCTAGACCTCCAGACTAGTGAGACTGCTCTGCTGAAGCGCTTGTTGCTTTTTTAAATTGGTGGCTAATTATTAAACACTGTACAGAAAACCATGGAAGAAAAAATTGTTTTCTGTTTTTTCTTGACAAAGGATACATCTGTTCTTTAATTCAGTCAGCGTGGATCTCTTTGGTAGTGGTACAGGGATCCATTGTTCCTGTGCTGCACCATTGTCCATCTCAAATCAGATGCTATCTTTGTCTCTTGGAGTTTGTAAACGGCACAGTGACATTTGGGTTTCTTTCATTGTTTAAATGTTACTTACAATTTTTATGAAAGCAGCTAAGCTAACTTTGTAGCAATTAATGACACAATGTTGTTGTTTTATAGAAAATGCTGTATTATATCAGAACTATAAGGAAAAAGCTCTGGACATAGATTCTGATGAAGAGCCTGAGCTCCGAGAGCAGAAATCGGATGAAAAGGTGGTTTTTTGCTATAAGCCCCTGAGATCAACGTGGAGTCAGCTGTCTGTTGTGAGTATTGGAGCACTGTGTAGCCAGACAAGGACAGGTAGAATGTGTCTGAGAATGTGTTGAAGCACAGCTCTTCACTTGCTACTGGAGTTCGTAGTTGAAATTTGTCACCTTCTGTTCCCTTCCAAAACATACGGTGTTTCTGAATATTCTGTTATCAACAAGTTTGCAACTGCTCAGATGTTACTGGTCCAAATTTGGAGGTCTCAATTTAGCTTTTATTCAGGTTTCCTGTAAGGTAACTCCCAACAGCCTAAAGAAAGCATAAATCATGTTTTCTCAGTCCATTTTAGTAGGTATAGACTGTTGCTCCTGCCAGAAAAGAGTTTTCCTGGTTACCTGACACCCCTCTTCTTGTAGTGCAAGTGCTTGTGGGCTCACGTGGCAACACAACAGGCTGGTTAGAGTGTGATTGGAAATTGCCAAGAGAAGAATTCAGTGTAGCTGAAGGTGAAATTAAATATAACTTGAAATGCAAAGGAATTAGCTGTTTCAATCAGTAGTATAATTTTGCTAGCTTCCCTGCTAATATGCTAACAAATTAATGATACTAGTTGATATTTCTACAGGCTTTAATTTTATGCATGATTTTGAGATTAAAGAAACTTTCAAAATTACGTGTTTCTGTGGGTAATTTTATCCTTTGATAATTTCTGTGGCTTCTGGAGGGATATCCGTAAAATGAAAGGTCTGGGGTTTTTTTGGAGGGGATTTGTTTATATAATTTGAGGTTCTACAACATTCTACATCTCTGAATGTGGCATGAGAAAGGATTATTATTATTACATGGTGTCACTCAAAATATTTGACAGTTGGGGCCAATAGCTATGTATATCCTATATAAATTGGTTACTAAGCCTGAACAAGATCTTCTAAGGCTGTTTAGATTGGCTGTTTAGAAGAGCTGTCTTAGAGATGTTAATGACCTTTTGCAGTTTAAGGTATGGAAACGTGAATCTCCCTTTGATTCAGTAATTATAAAGAAGGCAAGGCAATGTGGTTTTGAAAAGATTTGTTTTATATTTTCTTTCAACAAATCAAGTACTTTAAATGTAGTTAATTTGCTTAGTGCTGCAAAAAAGTTTGTTTATAATTAAGTCAATTTTTTTCCCTGCCTTCTAGGCAAACTCGCAGTTAAATGTTGAACAACTGAGGGATATTGGAAGAAATGCTTTTCAGTAGTAATAATAATTTCAAAAACACCAATTTGTCATGAGACCAAAATAGAATAAAGATAATTTCAGTAAGAGAACCATTCTTGTGCCATGCTTACAGTTAACATAAACCAAGTTGTTCTTTACAATTTCTAGTACAGCAAACTTGTTCAGTGTCTTTACTTGAATTACAAGATTTGAGGAGGGGAATGTATGGGAAAAGATGGTGCTCTGTGAAAACAAACTATGGGAATCTGAATCTCAGTGTCTGTGTTTATAACTCTGGAAAAATTACATGCTGTCAGTGTGCGTTAAAAAGTGAGTGCGGAACTATAAGAAGTCAGCTGGAAAACGTTGACGTGTTGGGTTTCAGCCTGTGTTGGGAAAGGAGAGTAACATGTCTATGGTCTGCGTTGGTAGTGGCTGGGGAGTGCTGGCCAGTGCAGGTGAAGGCAGCAGAATGGACCCTCTCATGCTGCAGGATATTTTTCTGACTGTATGGGATTGACAGACTTTCTGTTGAAGGGGGCACCAAAACCTTCATGGATGGAGTTCTCAAACCCTTTATGATAATAAAAAATGGTGTTTCTGTCTTGCTGCAGTGTACGTGCGCATGTGAAGCTAGGATTGAGATTTTTGGAGAACATTCAGGGACTTTGAAATAGGGTGCTATTTAAATCCAATTCTTAAAATTCCTCTCTTGAACCATCTTCCTCTTCAGCTTCCTGGTGCAGATTAGCTAGCTAGCAGTGTGTAAGCAGATGACTAGGTAAAGAGCAACTTATCTCGTATCTCTGCTTCTTCCAACCTTCACCTGTTAACGTTAGTTTAACTTAGGGAGAATAACCAGTATTTCCAAAATACATTCCAAAAGTATCTTTTGATATTTTTGAGGAATTTCCAGCAGATCATAGGCAATGATACTAACCTGTTCACTATATTAAATGTATTTACTTTCCAACAAGTGCAGCATTCAGTTGGTGTGGGGTAATGGCAATGTGTATTACTGTGCATGCAAAGAATCACAGCATCGGTCAGGTTGGAAGGGACCTCTTGAAATCACCCTGGCCAACCTCTGCTCGAGGTCTCCATATTTAGACCTCTTTCTTTTTGATGTGTTGCTAGTGATTAAGAATAGAAGGTTGAGCCATTTGCTTATGTGATGAACTTGTACGTGTACTTTGTATGTACACACCCACATATGACAAAATAATAATCACAAAACACAGCTACAGTTTTTGAATGTGAATACAGGAGTTGCCACATTGACCTGACTGGAAATTTTTAGTTGCTGTATTAACAGGAAGCATTGAAATCTCTTGAATATGTTCATAGGTATTTCCTGTGTTGGTGTATTTTTAGAAAAGTCCTCCATTGCATCCTCCAGTAAGTGACACTGTACTTCCTAATGAGTGCTTTAAAGCTTTCAGGTTGTTGATTGAGAGGTACTTTAATAGTTTATTAGAAAGGCATCTAATTAGTTCTTGTTTGATATTTAGAAGGGTGTGCTTGTGGTGACATAGAGATTTGTAACTTGTGTTCACAAGAACAATTGCTCCAACACTGGACTGTTTATGTTACAAGTATATACATATGGGATGGCACTTCTTAATGTTGTTCATCTTTATTCTTGAGTCTGCTGTCCAGCTTTGTGGCGCCTGGTACGCAGGAATAAAATAAGGATTAATATAGCCTGGAAAATTCCAGGGAACTGGAGGAGTAAAAAGAGAAAGCTGTTGCTGACAGTAAGTTAGGAGCTCATGGAGGAGACTGAAAGAGAAATGGGAGGACGGAGGTGCATCTGCTAGGTCTCGTGTCCTGTGACACACTGCTGCTCCACACAACAGCACCTCTCATGTGCACAGTGCTGTGCGGTGGCCCCTTTCCCTGCCCTGCCCCAGTGAACCACGCATAGGTTCCCCTCCTGGTTTGAGGGCTTGTTTAACACTCCTCTAGGAGATGAAGCAAGTCAGTCCCCCCTTGGTGCTTCACTTCCTGGGTTTTCTTTTGTTGTTTGGTTTTGTTTGTTTAGTTGGTTTTGGTTTTTTTAATTATGTTAAGTGACATAGTACGCAATTTATATCAGGAAAGAATAAACTTCAGGGATCTCTGATGTGGAATCTGGGAGCTGAGCCCGTGGCTTCAGCCTGTGGAAAATGTGGCTTTGACTGGAGTTTGTGCTGGGTGTGTATGGAGAGCTGGGGCAAACCTGGCAGGATTTGCTGTAGGGTGCGGAGCAGGGAGAGACATCATCACAGGGTAGAAGATAGAAATACAGGGTATTTACTCAGGACTTTGCCATGTCTGTATTGGGTAACAGCTGGAGCTTCTCCAGAGTAATTTTTTGGCCAGAAAAAACTACCTGTGTAGGTAGTTTGTCTAGGCCTTTAGGTGTGTTTAACAAATGGACACTAAGATATTTTTAAGGTCACTCGGAAAACAAACCTTGTGTTGTACGTGTGTCAATCAGAAAATCTAACTTAAAAAGAGAAAGCAGTTTTCTTGCTTCCCCATGTGTGTAAAATCCAGGGAAGTTGTGCAGGGTGACTGTGATCCATGTGCATGGTTTTGCTGCTGTGTGTGTGTCCTGGGATAGTTTTTAACAAAATTATTTAGTTCTTTTGAGAAGTCAAATGATAGACAATAACTTTTTTATTTCTTCTGGTTTATTGCTGTCTTTTGGAAGTGGACAGATTCTTTTAGCTGAATTCTTAGTCCAATGTTTGGTAATTCTGTGTTTTGGGGTTTAATTTTATTTTTCTACTAAAGGTGTTTAATTTTTTCTCTTAGGTAAAGAAGAATGGATTATCAGAAACGATCAGCCAGGAAGAAAGAAAAAGACAGGAGGTACTCTTTAATGTAACTCGTTCTTTTTTGCTAACTGTTCAGGCTTGTGCTGCATGCTGGATTGAATACTCTGTTGATAAGGAGACAAGTCATCACACTGCTTCCTGTCCTAGAGTGAGGCGTCTTCTCTCCCCTGGGAGAATAAACAAACACGAGCTGTGTATTGCTGTTTTGCGACATCCTGCAGCTCTTGCTGGAGCGGTGGTTCTTAGGCGTATGCACTCCAGCAGACATGGCCTGGTCGTTGGCTGCTCCTTCGCAGCAGTTGTTGCTGTGCGCTGTAGCAGGGAAGGCATAAAGTTAGCCTTACATTCGCAGAGGGTAGGAGGCGGTGCATGAATTTTCAAAGGCGGCAAGGAACAAAGGACAGCTTTTGACAATGTCTCCTAGTTGTAACTAAGCCTGTGAACAATTCTGACTGTGTGAGCACTGTGTGCCTGGTGTAACTTAACCAGTTTCCTTTCACACTGAAATGCAGTAGGTGCATCCCTGCTGTCACCAGTGTAGACAACAGCAGCGATTACTGATGTAGTTATCTTCTCTCTCTCTGTCTCTTTGCTCCTTTTGTCCTCTTTATCCACTTTCCTCTTCGCTCCTTTTGTCCACTTTTTGTGCTTTACCCTCCTTGCTTACTTACAGGGGCTATATCAAAATGAATGAGAGGTGTTGAAAAGAATAGCCTGACCTAGCCAGCTATATAACCAGCTATATACCTGCAGTTCTAGAGGTATGTCCTTCAATAGGAAAAAACCCAAATTTTTATTTTTGTGTTTGTTGGTTTTTGTTGTTTTTTTTAAATAGAAACACTGTAGCATTACCTTTTGGAGTAATTTGTTCCAATCTCTTAACTTAACTTCTGGACATACCTCAGCCAATGCAGCCGAGTGAGACCTGACTGGGTTTTATTGTGAAGTTCACAGCTGTGTATAGCAAGCCTCAAATATTAACTTATCTGTGTGACCTACAGCTGTTGTGTTCATACATGAAATACAGAAACATCTTGTGTTGCATACATGAGGTTTAGACAATAGTTTATTGGGTTTCTCTGTAATGTGATGTTTATTTGGCTATCTCCATTTGCTTTTCTGGGGGGAGGGGCAGTGCAGCAGTTCACGCCACATGTTCTGCTCTTCTGTCTCCTGCTGGGAAGCTTTGACACCCAAGGCATTTATTTCACTCCTATATCCTTTAGGAGCCTTTAGTCTGTGTTTCTTGGAGTTGTATTTAGATCCTTTCAAAGAGAACAAGTTCTTTTTAGATGCATTTTAAGTGTAAAGTCTTCAGTATTACCAAAAATGTTTTCAAGCCTGAGGGTTGTTGCTTGTTTTCAGGCTTCTTTTATTTGAATGTTAAAGGCCCACCTTTTTAGAGAGAGCCTAAATAAATATTAAAATGTAGTTGTAATACCAAGTCATGCTTTTGTTTTATGTCTTTTAAATTGCCTTTTACCAATTATCTAGTCTTTAAATTGCTTTTTAGAGCCTATTAGGTTATTTTTGCCATCATAATATATTGTCACTACTTTTATACCTTGATTAAATAGTGTAATGCATTCATTCACATCTCATTTTTTAGAGCACATTAATGAGATGGATCTCTCTGCATGTCTTGCCTAAAGAAAATGTGCTATATAGACAGACTAAATTGAACTAAGATAATTTTGAGTAGATTTTCTATTCTTGCAAGCTGGAAACTCTACATCAGTGTACAAAGCAGTGTGCATCTGGCCCCGAGAATGTTTGCTGTCTGTCAGGATTCAACATCTGGTTGCCTCCATATCATCCATAGGAACCACAGTGTGGTTTCAGATGTCGTTCAGAAACACTGTTAGCAAGCACCTGGGAAGTGCCACTCCAGCCTCTGAACATGGTGTAGTTACTGTATGTCAGTCGTGTTTCTTAATCTGTTTTTATTTTTTATTCTCCAACACGTGCTTTGTCATGGTAAGATGATATTCTCTCCGTTCTTTGTACATTAGAAGCAAAGTCTTTCTTGGTCCCATTTATTTCCAACTATGCTAATAACTTTCTGTTAACAATCTGGAAGAAGTCAGTGAGGGTCCTCCCTAAAATCTTAAACAAATCTCCTCCAAAACAGTAATGAGAGAGCTTGGATATTTTCCTGTGTTGGAAAATGCCTGGATAGCACCCAATTAGCTAGGGAACTCCACAGCAATCGTTAGGTCAGTCCTTTCTTTGCAAGCACAGCTGAGAGAAGTACAGTGAGACTGAACATTGGAAGTGTAACCGCTGGGCAAAGGCCAAAATGTCCTTTTTAGGTACCTTTCTGCATGTTGTTAGCAAGCAGTAGGCAGATTTACTTGCCAGTTTGGCTGACGTGTGTTATCTGGGTTCTTGGGGCTGGTAGGGTTGGCAGGCAATTGAACATTATTTTAAGCATCACCTTTGCACATGTTCTTGGACTGCAGCGTTCACTCTTATGAATAACACATAGGATGTTGAAGCTGTTACTGAGCTGCTGCTGTAGTATCTCTCACCAGATCCCTTCAGCTTTTTAGGTAGGTCATAAGGTGGAGAGACTACCGATATGTACATGGACATCCTTTATTGTGTGTATATAATGTACTTGTGGGTTTTCTGTGGAGTTGATAAATGCACTCCATAAACTTTTAAGGCTTCAACTAAAGCAGATTTTGTTGTTGTTCCAAGAAATCCAGAAGTTGTTACTTTGTTATTAAAAAAACCCTCAGTTTTTTGAAGATTACTTTTTAGAAAGGCAAGAATAATTTTGAAAGCACAGTCTGGGGATGCTGAGACTCAGAATACTCAAGAGAAATTGCACTTGATTGAAAGTTTACCTGAGTAACACCAGCAGAATGCACTAGACTTGAACACTTTTTAAGTAATCTCAAGACCAAATGTCCCTAGCAGAATCCTTTGCCACAAGTATGGCTTGTCTCAGTTGGCAATTGGGAACATTCAGGAAGGCAACCCTCAACCTGCAAGTACATATTTCTCATTTGGTTTGAGAAGTCAGTTGCAAATAACTAATGAAGTTATACATGCAGATACTAACTTTAGGTACATTGAGTTCAAAGCTCTGTTACCTGTGGTGCTGTTCTTTGTTGGCAGTGCCCAGGAGATTGCGCTGATGACAAATGGGACTTGGTGGAGCTTGTGACAAAAGGGTTCATGAGAATCATTTAACTTTTTTCCATGTATATACATGTAAGAGCTCTAGTAGATGAACAGCAAGTAAAACCTAGAGAGGTAAAAGACGCCTAAAAGCTGAATAGGTTTCTACATGAGACATTAAAATCTCCAATGGAACAAGTGTATGGATTTCAAAGTCCAAGAGCCCATGAAAGGTTTGCTCTGTATGTCAGCCAGCTGATGGAGGTTAGTGATTGCTCTGCAGGTTTTAGGGTGATAAAGCAGAGGAGTCGTTTGCAGAAGGTGGAGGATGTACTGGTACCCAGTGGCTGGTCACTAAGGAGGACAGTGGCTGCCCCTCATGTCTGCTCTGCCTCCAGCTCAGCTGCTCCCCTGCCTGCTCCTGGCTTGGGCTTGAAAAGTTCCCAAGGTATCGCTGCTGATGTGGGACTATAACCTGAATTTTGCAAAGGGTTTTGCTTTTCTGCAGAAGCTTGGTTTAGCAGAGCTCTGTTACCCAGTAAATAACTTACCAGCTTCTGATAAAAAAGAGCAAAAGTAAATATTGGCATGTCTGATATGTAATTTCCATCCAGACCACAGAAACAGATGTGTGTTTTTGTTTTGTTTTTAATTAAATAAAACCCAACAAACCAACAAAAACCACACCCAAACAAACCAAATATCACCTCTTGGGAGTGTGAATGAGAAGTGATTATAGTTGGCGTTAATTCTTTGTCTCCAAACTGTTTTCAATTGCATTGAAAAGTGTGAATATAGAAATTTTTATTTAAAATGGCTTTTTTTCCTAGCATTAGATAACCTATTTTTAAGTTAATGATGCAACCATGATAGAAATTAATATTTGTTATAATCTCTAGCTTACATCCAATAGCTTTTCTTTGTAGCCCTCCTCCACATTTCCTCCCTTTTTATTTTTTAATTTGTTTTTTTAAATAAAGGCCTAATCAATATTAAGTATTTTCTTTCTCCCTTCCACTTTGCAGGCGATATTTGAAGTTATATCTTCTGAGCATTCTTATTTGCTGAGCTTGGAGATTCTGATCCGAATGTTTAAAAATTCCAGGGAACTGAGCCTCACAATGACCAAAACAGAGAGCCACCACCTCTTCTCCAATATCACAGATGTTTACGAAGCAAGCAGAAAGTAAGCAGTGCTTTTCTACATTTAAAAAAAAATTAAAATTTGACATGTAAATTAAAATTTAATAACTATAAATATAAAATATTTACAATACACTTTTAAAAATTCTACCTGAGGGTGATTACTGATAGTCAAAGTATCTTTCAAGCAAGTAATGAAATGTAGTATCCAAAATAGTGTCTTTACTATTACCACCAAATGAAGGAACAACTGCTAGGTGGCATATTCAGCAAAGATTTAGGCCTGACAATGTAGGAATCAGAAGTCAGATGTCGCTTGTGCAGAGTCTTAGTTTTTTATAAGCTGTAAGTAAATGAGAATGGCCTTTGATTCTCTGTACTGCAAGAGCACCAAATTGTATGCTTTGCAGTGCTAAAGAATCATTTCAGATAATGCAGACAGCTACGGTTTTATTTTGCTAACCATAGATTCTATTTTGTAATATAAGTAAGCTCATGTTTATTTGGGTTCTGTTTTCCTTCTGTACTTCGCAGACAGCTCCTGGAACAGTAGAGACTTGGTTACTGCAGGCTATGATGCATGGTGGTACTTACAAACCTAGGCTGTGCCTTATCTACTCGCTTGTTCTCTGGGGCAGCTTGCTCTTATTTGAATACATCTTGGCTTTTCTTGCCAGAATACTCTGTATTCTTAGAGTTGTGCAGTTGTGAACTTTCCTGGCTGTACTGGTTCAGTCAGAGCTCACAGGTGGGCTGAACTGGAGATGTCCAGTGGTTATTTCAATGCCAACAGTTCCTAAGCCAAATGTTGATGAACTAAGCAGTCATACCTAGTCTTTACAGCCTGTCAGATTAAGCGTAGTCTGCTGTTATGAAACTGAAAAATTGAGGAAGAGTGTGATGCTTGCACTTAACCAACTCTTGCCAGTGTTTTCCTCAGTGTTGACTTTGTGCTGAGCATTTGATGTGCAGCACATGGCGTGGCTGTGGGTCTCTTGTGCAAACAGCAGAGGCATTTGCCTGGTTATGGACAGTGCTTTGCACCCCATAGCCCCTGACACCAGAGCCTGTCTTTCTGTTAAAAAGATGTGCTGTGCTTTGGGTTTTTTCTAAGCTTCTTCAGTACAAAGTCAGAAACAAGAAAAACAGCCACACTAAGGAAATTTTCATAAGGAAAAGGAAATGTTGGCAGTTTTTACATGATACACATGGTGAAAAGTCTGGTTGAAGATTGCTGATCGTTACTGCCAGAATTACTTAATATGGGACATGCATATGTATGTGCACTCGGTGTACTTCAAACTCTATTTGAAAAAGTTGTTTAATGAGGCTTTGCTTTGTTCCAATTTTGTTCATTATCCTAGCCTAATTAATGGCAATGTCAGCAGGTGAGTTACTGTGGTCTATGTAACTAAAAATTAACAGTATCTGTGTTTTTCTTATGGCTTATTTCTAGTTTGAACTAAAACACAATGGGTGAAGGATGTCCATGGCCTAGTTAAGACACTGATCTTAACCATAGCACTACATATATCTCTACTTGAGGAACAGAGAGATGAGCCTTGTTTCAGAAATGGGGCTAATGGTTGAAATAGGAATCTGTCAGACTGGGAATATTGCTGGAGTTTCTCCTTCCCAGATTTTCAGCTTTTTTTGTTGTTGTCATTCCCTTTTCTTTTCTGCGCTTTGTTTCCTTCTTGTAGAAATTGTGGGTTTAATCCTAAAGAATTTTGAACATCCCGTTTACCTTTGGGAAACTTGTCACATTTGGTGTTCCCAGTCACAGTAATAGCCTTTCTTGGCTTCTGTTTCTCTAAACCCCCACAAAGTCTGTGGAGTTTGAATTCTGTTGTGCAGGAGTTTGACTTTGTCTTCTGAAGTTTATGCAGTGATGAGATTTTGTTTCATGGAGTATACATGTGAGAGAGCCTAATGTACTGTGTCAAGTGCAGACCTAAATTAGGAGCTATATCAGAGATGTATGTTTGGACTTATTAAATATACCTTCATTTCTCCATCCTCCTGTTCCCTCTTGTGTCTCTTTCTTATAGTTGAGGTCTTTTGCCAGAAGCTGATTATTCTCTCAGTCCACAGCCACAGCTGTGTGAACAGGGGTGTCTTTGGTTTATGGTGAATAAGCCTTCCAAATCATCAAGTCCACTTTAAAGTGTCTCACTTAAAATATTTAAAGCAGAGACAGTGGTGGGGAGAACAGTATTTTTAGGGGAATTCTTGCAACCCTTTTGATTAATAGTCTTCAAAGGAAGTGGGAGGGGAAAAGAAAGAAAGAGTGGAAAAATACCACGTTAGCCTAAAATTATAATCTTATTCTTTGTTGTCTGGAAGGGCTGATGGTTTAAGAACTTGGGTTTTTTATAACGTGGAATAAAACAAAATTTGTAACTCCTTTTTAAACTTAAATGAAAACATATTTTGTTTCTCAAGTTATGCAGTGGTGTTAAACTGTAACAAAACTTTGTGCTGGATTTCTGCAACCTCATTTGTGTAAATAACGAAAGTTACTTTAAAAACAGAAGCCTCTGTCTCGCTGTCTCCAAACTACTGCTTCCCATTTTCAAGGTCTCTGAAGGTAGCAAAATCCATCCTATTGTAATAAAATTGAGCACCTGTCCCATTATGCTATATTTTAGGCATCTTTTACGTAAAAATATAAAATCTGAGTATAAGTGTAGCTATCAGTGGTTTTGGTTGCTCAGACAAAACTTTGGTAAACTAAAAAACGTGAACTGATAAAACTGCTACCTTGAGTCAGAATTGCTTAAAGCTTGTATCTGGGAACTTTGACTTGGAGTATGTTTAATGACAACTCTCCCAAAATGCCAGGATAGGCTCCTGATGCAGGACAAGGCCATTTCGGGTGGAACAACGCTGTCTTTGTTAAAGCAGAATGCAGACACCAAAGAGGAGTGGATCTGAATAGCTTGTGCAGCGTTCAGTGTGTTGGTGTGTGAAAATGTCGTGTAAGGTGGCTGCAGAGAGCTTAAATCTTTTATTGTGTGTTTGCCTGGATGTGTCATGTGGGAGTTCATCACTGGTGGCACAAACTGCATCCCAAGGGTGTGAGCTGTGATGCTGAGATGTGTCCGAGCTGCTGGGGGTGCCATGGGGCAGCTCATTCAGAAACCAGAGCTGGTGCAGCCAGAGAGCCTGGTGCAATCAATCTCCCAGTCACAACCCTGTCCCCTCCCAAATGGGGGCCATGAGAGGGCACTTTCCCAAGCGCCAGTCCTGGGAAAGAGGAATTATGGGGAAACTGGGGAAATGTCTTGAGGAACAACTGGTCTGACAAGTCAGATTTATAGGAGAGAAGAAGGCTTTAGCATTTTGTTTCCCTCTCTGCCCTTAGGCCAGCAAAAGGCAGAAAGCTGATGGAATAGCAGACTATCAGCATTAGCAAAAAAGACACTAACAAAAAATACTTTGGCAGGTTCTGACTGGCTTTAAACTCCGTGTCTTGATTTTGGTAGAGAAGCCCCTGTGGGTTTGAGATAGGATATCATATTGTCTGAGTAGCTTAATTTATATGTGTGAATATACGTTAGGAACCGGGTAAGCTTTCTCATAGCGCTCTTTTTGTAAATTAGGTTAATGTTTCACCTCTCTCCGGCATCCTTTATATGGCACATCTTCATCTTTTTCCACAGGAAAAGATAGTCCTAGTCTTTATTTAAGAAATGTGTGTATTGAATCAGTTAACTAGGCATTAATAACACTACTTTTGGAGAATGCAGGATTCTGTTCAGTTGCTTTGGATGATTGAAAAAAAACCCCAGACACTCAAACCTACATATAATAAAGTAAACCCACATATAAGAAAGTAAAAATAAAAATTGTAATACTAAGATAGAACCTGGGTGATTGAGGGGAAGTCTAGTGAAAGAGAATTATTCCTTTGTTACAGACCACGGATCTGATCCTTCAGGTCAGACAGTGGTATAAGTCATTAATGTCTTTTTTCCTGTTTGCTCTAAACTGATGCTCTTGGTCTGTGTTTAGGATACAGTTCTTGCTGTCAGCAGTTTTGCAGAGAGCTGAGTCATGTTGTGAGCAGGTCCAGCTGAGCGTGGTTCCCTGTGGTTCAGTGACACCTGGGGAGAGTGGCTTTCAAAGCAAGTTGTTTACCTGGGATGTTTTGAAGCAGAGAAGTGGCTTCCTTATCAGTATGTCTGAGTGGTTATGTTGGATACGGTGGACAGAGCAGAGGGAACAAGAGGGAGGAAAATCCTCCCAAGTGATCTGGAAGCAGGGTGCAAGGCATGTGGGGCTCTGTGCAGAAGCTGCTGCGTTGTCCTGACATACAGCAAGTGCTGGTGACTGTATGCAGTGTCTGTGTGCAGTGACCATACATGACACTGGGTTTTCAGGGTGCTGCAGAGCACTGTGAAATCACTGCTTGTGGGTTTTGCCTTTCTCCCAGCCTTGCTGTATAATCTGCTTTTAGTGCTGATGAGGCCTTTTATGGTTGTCAGGAGGTTCCAGGGATTCTGGAGGACTGAACTTTTTTTTTTCTTCCTTAAAATTTAGGTGCTCACAGACCACATTTATGGATTTGCATCATATTGCTGACTTGGGACAGTGCATTTGTCCTTGTGTTTCCTCAGAGTGCTGTCTTCATGGTTTGTCCTGACATCTTTGGCTTTAATATCTAGAGTTATTTGTTCAGAGAGTTCTTCTGGCAGCTGAAAAAACTCCCTGGTTGACCCGTGCTGTTTCTTTGCAGCATTGGTAAACAGTAACTGTAAAATAGTATGCAGTTGGTATTTGTGTTCCTGACCCAGTGATTGTTCTTTTGTAATTTATCTTCCTTATTGCAGACAAGATTAGATACACGACTTCAATGCTCAGGAACAATCCGAATGCTTCCCTCAGCTCATTTTCTTGGGTGCACAGAAGTTAAGAGACAGAATGCCTTTTTTTTTTTTAAATGAGTTTAGAAAATTTTAAATGCATATAGACAATTTTTAAATGCATATAGACAATTTTTGTCTATATGCATTGTCTAATACTTAATTTACTAAATAC